TAACATTTCTGCACCACGTTTTTCCCTGTGAGTAGTTCCTCAACTCTCAATTTTATCCTCACAACAACCCTGCATGGTAGCTTAGGGGGAAAGTCACCAGCTGGCTTGAAGTTACCCAGGGAGCCTCAAGGCTGACTGAGGGAGTCGAACTCAGATCTCCTAAGTCCCAGTCCAAATCTAACCACTATACCACACTGTCCCTCATTGCCCCACTACTTGCTCTTTTGCTGTCCAACCCAACTGAGGAGTTGAGGTGTGGTGGGATTTAGCACCAGACAGAATGGCATTGTAGGAGGTCCGTCTCCAATGCTAGTCGAAATTCAGCATCGTTGAGCGATGCCCGTGAGTCTAAGGCAGAGAGATCTATGAATCAGCAAAACCTGAGCCTGTCAAATTTCGCCCAATTCCAGCTCACCACTCTCCACCTCACTTCTGCATTACATTGCAAGTTTCTATTGTCTGTGCACGAAAAATGCCTGGTGTATTTTTCTAAATGCATATTGTCAGTTGCACTGGTTTTTTAAACTTTTAGACTTTTCCCCCATTAATTAACACGTGCTTCATGCATTTTTCCAAAGTGTGCAGGCTGTCAGATGCAGCCCTCTCACTCTCGTTTGGTCTGGAAATCATGCTTCGGACTGAGAAAGACACAAGCTTTGACTGGGCTTGCATTTGGGTCTCCGTTGGCCCGGGAAATGGGAGCTGGACCGAATTTCTCATCCAATCCTCCTTTCAAGCCCTTTAAATGCCAGAGGACAATTTCCACCCTCCGGAGCCAGTGTGTGATGGTCGTTCACATGTTCGACAGAGAGGCAGGACACCCGGGTTCAAGTCTCCACTTGACCGTGGGGCGCACTGAATGGCTTTGGGCTGATCACAGTTGCCCAGTGTAACCTACCTCGCAAGGGGGTTGTTGTGAGGGAGGAGAGAGGAGAGTTCCTCAGAAGACAAGGGGACAAGAGCAGTGGGAAAGCTGCCTTTCTCAGGGAGGGTGGCCGTGAGGGAGGCCTTGCCGATCGGCCTCTGAACCCCGGAACTAGCCCTGCAATGGCCCTCATCTCTGCCCGCAACGGATCAGAACTGGCCCGTCTGTTAAAAAACACTCTCCTTCAGCCCAGCATCCTCTAAATGCATCAGACCCCCAGGACTCCCTGCCCCTTGGAGCTTCCTCCCCTCCCAAGAGGCTGAAATGCCTTTGACTGCCGGCTCAGGCTTAGCGATGGTCTAAGCCCCGCCCCATTCGCCTTTGCCCCGCCCACCCTGGGATGCAGCCCCCAGAACCTCTCCAAAGTGGACGCTCCCCCCTTGAGCTCAGTTCTTGCTGGCACTGAGCATTATTTCATGGTGTGAAGGCCCTTTATTTGGGTCTGGGGTGTGCTGGTTTGTTTGTTTTTTAAGCAGTTCTTAATCCTTGTGTTTTGGGAGGAAAATGGGTTTTGTTGCCTTGACTGTATTTGTGCGTTTGTAAATCGGGGTTGGTGCAAAGTGAACGGGAGAATTTGTAGAGGAGGTTTTTCTCGGTGTCCCGACGATCGTGGCCTTGGCAGGACTGTGGAACTCCAGGCCACAAGAAGCCCATGTGGCTGCCTCTTTTGTGACTTTCGGTCACTTAGTCACACTTTGGGCCTGCCAGACTGACACCCTTTCAAGTGGCTTCTCCCTGGTGGGAGATTTCTTCATTTTTATTTATTTTTCGGTTTATATCCTGCCTTTTTCCTACAAAGGGCTCAAGGCAGCTTACATCATCTCTCCTCCTCCATCTTCTCCCCACAACAACAACCCTGTGAGGGAGGTTGGGCTGAGAGTCTGTGGCTGGCCCAAAGTCCCCAGTCGGCTCCATGGTTTGTGGTGTTGGTCTGTTTTTCAGCTGTGGGACTGCAAGTTCCCTTGTTGGAGTCGGATTCCAACATCTGGGAAGCATCCACGTCTTCATCCCTGTTCTTAATGTTTTCAATGCTGTTGTCGTTTTGCATTCGATGTTTGGTTTAATTTCTGGGTGTGTAAAAATTCGGTTGACTCTTTCGTCTGGTTTTTTAATTAACTGCTTAAATCCCGTTTTTGGCTTCTGTGAGCTGCTTTGGCTTTTGCCACAGTGGCCTGACTTTATTTATTTATTATATTTATATCCCACCCTTTGTGGAACTCCAGGCGGGTAGTTGAGATTCCCGGGTGGTCTCCCCTCCAAGCCCAGGCCAGTCGCAGACCTGCTTAGCTTCGGGATGGTAGACCCCTAATGAGCCTTCAGAGCATCCTCTGGGCATGTGTGTTTGGGGGTATGTTATGCTTTGGGGGTAAGAAAGCCCCAAAGCATCCTCTGGCTTTGGTGCAGTCTGATGCAAGTTACACAGCTTTGCGACAGTGGAGGTTTTTAAAATGCAACCGTCTTTGTAGGGTTTGACGCGGAGGCAGGCAGCACAGAGTCCCCTTCGGAAAGCCAAGTGCTGCATTCGCAGGTGTCCACACACCTGGGATTCTCCTCTTCTTATGCTGCAGCCGAGGCAGCAATGCGGCCGGTGGAAATGGCAGAACTGCTCCAGCGCGTTGCCCATTTCTGCTGCAATGATTGGAGCGGGACTAAGTGATGCTTTTAAGTCCCGGTTCCTTCCAACCGACTGCGTTCCTGCAGAACTCAGCGTAATTGCGGGACTGCATGCAGGAGGGGAGGGAGAGGCGGGGAAACCGCTGACCGTTTTGTGGAGGGCACGTCGGCATTTGATTAGGAAGCGGCTTGGCTGCTCGTCGCAGCGCCGGCCGGCCCTCCCCTGCCAAAAGTCTGATGGGGCTTACTTCTATCCCCAGGTGCTCAAGCACAGTTCCCTTGGTGTCCATGCTCTGTGCGGGACTCACAGGATCAAAACCCCAAGAAGATTTGAATTGCAGACAAGCTGCATGCCCTGGGCCTGAGTTTTCTTGAGTTTTCTTGTTTATTCTGTGCTTTGCTGCCATCCTCTCTGCAGCCAGGGGGAGGGAGGGGGGGGGAGGGAGGGGGGGAGGGAGAGAGATTTAAATTTACTATCCTCTAGCATTCGCCTTTGCAAGACAAGAGCATCTTGGGGTATCCTGGGGCTCTTCTAAAGGAGACATTTATTATGTGCCTTACACAGAACCATCCTCTTCTAGGGCCCTTCTGCAGCATTTTCTTTCAGAGCGAGAAAAATGTGGTATTATCAGGAAATTGTGAGGAGAAACAAATTTTGCAAATTTGGCTATGCCGTGGCGCCACCTTGTGGGTGTTGAGAATGTTTACATATCAAGGTTACAATGAATACGAAGTTAAGGACCATTATGGTTCTAGTCATATGAACTCGGAACCAAACTGGAGCAGGAAACGGAGTGGCGTGATTCATGTTGTTTTAGAGGACTACAAGTCAAATGAACTGCTCCCCCATTCCCCACAAAAAACTTTTAAGTTGGCCATCTGACATCTTTCAGGTTGATGGCCCAAGGGGAACATTTCCCCCATTTTTATAACACAAGAATGTCGGGTTCCCCCATGAACATGCACAGGGCTGTGTTTCTACATGTGCAGTGAAAATCATTTGTGGCGCTCGTGGGCACTGCCACAAAATGGTGGCAGGTGGCTTGGGCAGCCATGGTTGCATATGGAATGCCCAACCGGACGACTCTGTGGGCTGAACCAGCTGATCCACGTCCCTATCCCTGCACACTGATGCTGATTTTGTGCAGAGCCGGGAGCAAGAGAAGGTGGGGAGGTTAGCCCCGCCCCTTTGTCCATGTCCCCACCCCCTTTTCAGCCCTGCCCACCCTGGAATGCAGCCCTGGGGAGCTTTGCTGGAATGGCATGCAGGGAGGGAAGGGGGCTTGTGTCGGATGTGGAAAGTGGGAAATGCAATCCGGCCCAAGGTTGCAGGCCAACCCCAACTGCCTAACTCGGTGAAGCGACTGGACCAAGGCCAGGCCCGCCGGAGGCTTTTCCCGCCGAGCTGACGGACTTTCCGCAAGATGCAGGCGGGGAACTCGGCGCATTTGTGCAAATACTGCCCTTGCTCCCCACTTTGGCAAGCCAGGCACTCCTGCGAAATATTCTTTAGCTGTTTTAATTAGTACAGGGACTAAGTGCCGTTCCTCACTTGGTAATGTCCCCTTGCCCGTCTCCGACACAAAAGAAACTTCGGATGCCAACCCGGCCTAAACATAGCCAGGTAACCTCTGCCAAAATCAACACTTCCCGCCACTGCCAAAGAGTGTTCTGATGTCCCGGATCTGTGCCATAAATCTTGGCAGAACAACCTGCTGGCACGGGGGGGCACATCTGTCCTGGCGTGGGGCGCGAGTGTTTGCCGGAGGGGGCAGAAACGTACTGAGATCATCCGAAATGTAGCTGACCCCGAGCCAGAGTTGGTGCAGGGAAGTGCGGGGAGCAAAGGCCATTTGCTCTTGCGGCAGAGATGGGCAGAGGAAACCGCAGCTCTGGCACGACATGGGCTGGGTTCGGACAACACAGGAACCCACACCTGGGGGCGGGGCACAGGTGGAGCGTGGCTTGTCTCTGAACAGGGGGTTATCATGCTGCCTCAGCCCATCCGTACTAACAAACCATGGCTGGTTATCCACAAACAAGCCATGAAGAGAGCCCATGGCTTGCGGCTGGGTTTTGAACGGTGGGTTCTTCATGGTTAACCAACCATGGTTGGCTTGCGTGGCTGGGTTCAGACAGCGCGACAACTGATGCTTCAAAGAGGGGCTATGCTCCACCCTGGATTAGAGTGTCGGCTGGATGCTTCCATGGGGTAAGTCTTATCGGCTGCCCTTGATCCACGAAGGAGACCCTTGCTTAACAGTTTTGCAGCTGAAGGTCTTGTGGGTTGCCAGCTCACTCCTTGCAGAGAGAAAAGGGCAACCGTTACGGGGTAGAAGGTGGAGGGTGGACTTTTGAGAGATTCCCACTGCATTGGTGCAGAGTTTTGCAATCACAGGGAGAACCTTCCCCTTCCCCGGGGATGCCTGAAAGCTCAGCCTTCACAGAAATCACAAGTGAATGCTGCTATTATTTATTTATTTATTAAAACATTTTTATTATCACCTGGGTATGTTGGAAACATTTTAAACGTGCGGTTTGTGCGCCATTCTGCAGCTGCTTTAATTCTGGGTTCGATGGCCCTAGGATGGTTTTATTCTTTGCTGCTAGATTTATCCTGGTTTCCTTCTGCATCGTCTTTTAAAAGCATGTACATTCAGTTCTTAACTGTTTTGAACCCTGCCTGCGAACTTCAGTTGCTGGGCGGCTTTCTCAGGACACTGGAAACAAAAAAATTGAATGGTGACGAAGATGATACTAGTAGTACCGAGTAGCAGCAATCGGGTGAACTTGTTTTTTGGAGATAAATGGAAATCGAGTCCACCTTCTGGTAGGGCAAGCTTTCAACAGCATGAAAAACAAAGCGAGTCATAGATGGATCATCGACCGGCGGCCATCCCTTCCTGACCACAGTTCCCTTCCTTCCTCCCTTGGCCATGACCCTAGTAACCTCTGAGTAACCAATGAGCACACTCTTAAACACCGATCAAGGCCACCACGCTATTCCGGTGACTAAGAGGGTGTTTCAGAAGCCCTCCCATGTCCAAGCCTCGGTCCAACACAACACCGTAAACTCGGCATCTCTCCATCGATGGCAATTTCCAGATGTTCCCCCCACCCCTGCTTCCTCTGAGGTGGTTGGAACAACGTTCGAAACGGCAGCCTGGCAAAGCTCTGCAAGACGCCGTTCTAATGCTTCTTCGAATACTCGGCTCAGGGGCTGAGGGCCACCGGGCGTGTGCCCAAGTGGGGCCGACTGGGAACCTCAGTGGCATGGTCAGGGGAAGGCCAAACTCTGCACAAGTGCCCAAATAAATACATAATTTTTAAGAGCCCTTGTGGGGGCAGCAAGAACGTCAACAAAATGAGGACGGACATAGTCAGTCATGAGTCAATGCGAAGTGAGTGCTGGAAAAGCAAAATGGAACACAGGCCTCGGATATGCAGAACGGCCTGTTTGCAGGGATCCACTTGCTGGAAAACAGAACAAGAGCTCCTTTTTAGAAGGAAAGTCCGGTGCAATATATTGTTGCAGCTCCTGCCTGCTAGGAAAAAAACCTATGTTTTGATTAAGGATGGTCACTACCAGCTTCACGCTTCTTTCTCTTTGTCACGCTCCAGTGAGACTGTCTCTTTCTCTGCCTCACTTCCCCATTTGTAAAATGGGCATAAGAAACGAATTGCTCACTCTACAGTAAATCCACGATTGGATCCCCTGATAAATGCTTGTTTGCAAAGGCAGTTCTTGTAGCTGTGTTTTTTGCTGTTATAAGGGGCAAACAACCATTTTGGGGGGGGGGGGGTATTTCAGAGCAGAGCCAGTGTGTAGTGGTTAGAGCACTGAGGCAGCACTCAGGACATCTGGGTTCTGGGCCCCACTCAGCCACAAAGCTCATTGGGTGTCCCCCAGAGAGTCTTCTCCTCCAGGAATTGTCCATTCCCCTTTTGAAAGCCTCCAAACTGGCAACCATCATCTTGTGGTTGAGATTCCATAGCTGAACTATGCACTGTTTGAAAAATGCGTCCCTTTGATCTGTCCTGGGGGAGCAAATTCCCTCATTAGCAATGACTAATAAGAGCTGAGCCGGACTGGGCCAGGGGCCGAATGTCTAACTCAAATAGCAACTTCTACAGGCGCCTGGAAAAGGCTCCCACAGGAAGTCCAGAAACGGAATTCATGCACGAGAGGCTCTGCTTGCAGCCGGAGGGCCTTCCCCTTCGTGAATTGGACTGGCCCCTTTTTAAAGCCTTCCAAACTGGTGGCCATCCCAACCTCCAATGCTAGCAAATTCCAGTTTCACTCTGCAGCATGCAGAAAAAGTCTTTCCTTTGGTCTGCCCCAAATCTCTCACCCGCTGCTTCCTTAGAGAGAGGAAGAGAGAGATACCAGAAGCCAGACTTACTTCTTGTCCAAATAATTTCAGTTGGAATGCATCCTGCAGTTAATTTGCACTCTGTCCCAGATCAACCTGAAGCAAGACAAAATATATTCTCCAGGCTTAATTGCCACACAAGGAAAGAGAGAGTTCCAGCACGTAAGGCAGGGAGAAATTCCCTCCCTTGGGAATCTCCACTGGACCTTGTCAGTACCTTGGACAGCACACTGTGGTCCATGCTTGCAGGCTGGCTCTCCTGCAAGCAGAGCTGTTGTCTCAGCAAAGCGCTGCGGACAACAGAGACGTTAAGTTGCTCATCCAGTAACTCTTCACTTGCTGGTTGCGAACTGCCAACCTTAAAGTGGCTCTTTTCCACAGGCCCATGTCCCTGCCTGACTCTAGGTTAAGATATACTGCAGCAGAGTCACCCCCAAAGCAAGACGTCACTGGGAAGGCTCTGTGCTGAGCAGAGAAGGTCCCGAAAAGAGCTCTGAGCTCTCCCCTTGATGTGGGCGGACCACTGACCCATCTGAATTTCAATCCTCCTTCTGGCTTCAGAACCCGAAGACAAGACGCCATTGAGGGAGGTCCATGTATGTAATATTTGGGTCTTGTTAACTTTGTTATACCTTTGCTTGCACGTACCCAGGTTTTGCTTTCAAGTTTAGCTCATTTCAGTACTTCACACCATGCGGTATTTTTATTTCTTTCTGGCTTATTATTTTATCACATGTGGGGGATTGTGTTGGTATGCATTTTGTGGGTCAGTTTGTGTGCTCCCTTTTGCATTTGTTGTGTGGGCAGTATCCAAGGAAAAGAATTATTAAAAGAAAAGTGAGCAATAAATGCTACCGTCAAAGTAATACAGGTGGGGGGGGGAAACACCACAATCAATCGGTGAAACCCCGCCAAGCTACAGACCAAGAATCCACGCAAATAATAAGAGAACTCTTTGCCTCGATGCTAGAAAGACATTAAACTTGGCATTAGGTGCGCTTATCTGGCTTCAGGCCCACTTCCCTGGGCTTTCTAGGTACGGAGTGCCGTCTCGTTTGCAGGGGCTTCAAAGAGGACTAAGGTAGGGTGTAAAATCTCAGGTCTGGGGGTAAAATCCCACCCCCCCCTTAGGGGGTCCCTTGCCCGCAACAATGTGGTGGTTTAATGGCTTTTGTGCAATTCCTCCCCCACCCCATTCTCAAGACTTCGCTACTGGCGGTAAGAGTTTTACGCTGAATTATGTTGGCACCTTTGGCCACGCCCCTTTTGCATCTGGCCCCGCCCATCACTGGAATGCAGCATCACAAAGTCTGGGGCTGAAAGAGGTGCATCTTTCACCTTTCTTTGGTCAAAATCTCGGGGGAGGCTCTGTATTGCAAGAGTGGGTGTGGCCATGGCAAGGTAGGCAGGGGCGGAGTCAAAGTGAGCATGATTCTGCATGAAGCCAGGCCAGGGTCCGCTGCGGCTCTTGGCCCGTAGTTCCTCGCCCTCTCCACTTGTCTGGCTCCTCAGAGCTTGCAGGAGAAGCTGGTTGCAAGATCAAAGTACAAAGACAGGAGAGGGAAGGAAGGGAGTAGGACCTTGAATAGCTCCAGGTGAGTTTCCCGGACGGAGCTATTGCAATTGGAAGATGTTGTCTCAGCGTGGAACTAAAGCCCACTGACGTCTTACTTGAGCTGGCAAGACCTATCGTGCGATCAGCTCCTACCTTCCTGAAAATAGTTAAAAAGTTGTTTTCTCACTTTTTGGGAGGCCTGTGCCTCATGCTTGTCAGAAGCTCAAGGCACAGTTCTGGGCAAAGGGCTCACCTTGAAAACGCCACAGAAAAGATGGATTTTGACCAATGCAGAAGTGTTAACCTCAAGAGTTGGCTTAGCACGTTGAACAGTAAGAACTGCCAACAGTTTGTGTCCAGGACTGCTTGTGCTAAGGGCTGTGCCTTAACATCCACGGCCCCACACTTAAGGAACAATTCGGCACAAGAAGGTTATTCCCTCTGGAGTTCAGTGAAGCTGCCTTCCCCGAGCTGATGCCCTCCAGATATATTGCTGGGGATGGTGGAATTTGCAGTCGGACCTCTGGGAGGGCCACCAGCTGGGGGAAGGCTGCCCATAGAGATGTGGTCTTCCAGGTGGAACTTCCTGATTTGTTGGGCTCTGTTTATTTTCTTTGACCTCTAAATATCTTTGGATTAATTACTTTTTAAAACTGGGGTGCCAGCCCACTGCAAAGTGAAGGGCCCAAAACGAGGATTTGGAGTTCACTTTCCCTAGTCCTTAGGTCTGGGTGTGAGTTACCTTTATGTACGCCTCGCTAATATTTAAAATTTAATATTTTCCAAGAGCTTTAGTTCCAAGGACGTCTTCCTTTATTTCTCTATTGCATTTCTATCCCACCTTGCAGTCAAAGTGCTCTCTCTCAATCCCTCCTCCTCTGCCAGGATGCCACCTCTCCTTAGACCCAGCTAGCATGGACAGAAGCCAGGGATCATGGGAGGTGTAGTCCCCCACATTCTGTAGGACCAGTCCTTTCTTTTTTGTCCAGGCTAAACTTTTCCTTCCTTAATTCCACACTCTTCCTGTTTTTTCTACCATCTTCTGAGACTCGGGATAAATTCCCTTCATTCATTTAGCCTTTACATCTGTGTTATTTTTAGCATCTCCGATCATGTCTGTCTGTCTGTCTGTCTGTCTGGTGTGCTCGCTCTCCTGCAGTCTTTGCTTTCCCAGAATATAGTTCTATGTCTCTGACCGAATTCTACTGGTCTCATGACTGCAGCTATACGTTCCTGCCAATTGTCTGTGTGCATGTCTTAAAACTCTACATTCTTTCTTGCTTGCTTATTTTGTAGTTATGATATACAGGCATATCTTGATCTATTTCACCTGGACTATTTTTGCCCTAAATCAATATTAGCCTTTTCCAAACATTTTATCAAAGTAATGCCGTGCATCTGTGCCTGCGCTTTGACAAACTGCAATTTCGTGACAGTCCTTCAGCCCCAGGGGATCCCGCTGTAGTGTACACAACAGGGAAAACAAACCAAAAGCTGAGTCCAATTTAAAAAATACAATTACAAATTGAAAGGCAACAGGAATGGTGACAATTCTTCCACCGAAGGAAAACCCTGCAATCACTTTGTTTTTAAAATCATTGATTTTGAACGTTTAAAAGGCACAACTGCTTGTGCTAAAGTTTGTGTCCTTTCCATCTCCTTTGGGATGGCATTGCAAAGGCGGAGGTGCCACTTCGGAGAAGTCCTTCTCCTTGGGAGATGCGCAGTGCCTGTCTCCCAGCGATGGTATTCTGGGAAGGGCATCCTCTGAGGATTTTAAGACATGGGCAGGAACCGCATGTACACAGGCAGTTTTAGTTTCAGGTCCCAATCCTATGGCTGGCTGGAGCATGCTGGAAGTGGTAGGCCTTTTTTAGTCTAAACTTGCATAGGATTCCACCTTAAATCACAGGTGTATGCCCACCAGCCACCTAGACGGCTTCCAGAAGCCCTCTGACCACTTGCCAGACAAGGCACAAACAGAATCTGTGCTTGTTGCCCAGTGCACCAGTTTTCCATTAACTGCGAAAGTTTAACCCGTTAGACAAGACAGACAGTGTGGTGTAGTGATGAAGGGCATGGAACTGGGACTCAGATGACCCGGGTTCCAGTCCCTGCAGTCTCTCAGCCTGACCTACCTCACAGGGTTGTTGTTGTGAGGATAAAACCGAGAGGAGGAGAATTCTGTAAGCTGGCTTGAGTTGCTTGGAAGGGAAAAAGGTGGGATATAGATCTAATGAATAAACAAAATAAGAGTCTTTTAAAATGGCCAGAATATACTGACCTTAGCTAGCCTGGTCTACAGAGAACTGCCTCCAGTCCTGGCTGTTCCAATCCCAGCTTCGAACAGGTCTCTGTTGGGGCAGATTTAGAGAGCAGTGTCATTTTCCAGCCACTAGGATAAAAACAAGAAGACGGCCATTCATCCTGGCCTGCCTTGCAGGGCTGTTGTGCTGAGAAAGAGGACTGAAGGAAGATACCCTAATAGGAGTTCTCCTATTATTGGCATTGTGTAATATGTTGTTGAATTACTATTCATGGGATGTGCAGTAACACCAACGTTGTGTCTGGGGAGCCTGTGTAGTTGAATCCTTCGAGAGTTAGACTCTGGAGATCAAGTTTCTAGTCCTCACTCAGCCACAAAATCTCCGGGAGACTTTGGGCCAGTCACTGACTCAGCCTCGCCTACTTCACAGGGCTGATGTGGGGATGAAATGGATAGGAGAACCCCGTAAGATGTTCTCCTCTTGATGAACCCCTTGGGCTCCTTGCGAGAAGGGGGGGAAAGCCAGGCTGTCAGCACAGCAAACGAATCAATAACTGGTCGAACGGTCCGGGAAAGGGCGCGATCAGCCGGCCACATCTGCCATCCACGGAGGGCGCATCACGTGCACAGCCTCCGCCAGTACCCAGTCTAGCGCATAGATTTATCCCATTCCCATTCGTGCCGGAATCCAGGCTCATCTGTGCCTGGAGAAGCTTCTCTCCATCATTAGGGCGAGGAAGAAAGGGTGGCGGTTTTCCGATGACCTTGGCGATGCTCCCATGCGCCCTTGAGGCGGGAAGCTGCCAGTAGCGCTCCTTGGGTGTATTTATTTCCCATCCACCACTACCCCGGCTCACGTCTCCTGCTCCTTCCGTGCCTGCCTTCCCCTTTAAGAGTCCCCGGCACATGCTGATATGCAGAACTCCGCAGCCCCGTGTTGCGGCACGGTTGGGGGAAGTCTGCTGAGCCGAGCAGTTTCCTCTGCCAGAGATCCTGAACAATGTCATTGTAAAAGGAAGAGGAGACACTGCAGTCAACTTTTCAGAGCCGGCTCTGCCTGGGAGTCATTCTCGTCCTCGCTGCCGTGCCCAGCCAAAGCCTGTGCTCCGTGGACCCGAGAGCAGGTAAGCCTCCCCTCTACCTTTCTCCAGGTAGAAAAATAAAAACCGAGACAGGCAGCAGCAAAGGTGGCCTGCCTCCCTCGGACTCCGCTTTTTAGAAAGAAAGAGCACTAACTAAAATTCTGCAATGCTCCTCAGCCATGGATTCGTTCGTCTTGCTTTCAAGTCGTCTCCAAAAGCCAGACGTAAGATCAGTAGTCGGATTTTGGATCTGACTTCGGCAGGAATTTAAGTTGACGCTCTTCACTCAAGTTAAACAAAAAAAAATGGCATTTGGATCTGTTAGAATGGCTTTTGATAGAATTAGGAAGGGTTTATTTCTATTTTTAATTTTCTTCTTTCCATCCTGTGTTATGAATGTATCGTATTATCTGATGACCCATGGCAAGTTAGCAGATCTAGAAGCTAATAGACAATGAAGAAATAGTCATTTTGAGAATGTGATCATTCTGGACAGTCAAGCTAATTCTGGAACTCAGGCTGGGTGGGAATTATTTGTGCAAATTTACTCAGGGAGTAAGTTGCACCAAACTCAGTGGGACTTACTCCTGAGTAATGTGCACTGTAAGAAAATGAAGACTGCAACATTACAGCTGGGGGGAAAAATGAATAGTGTTGCTACGTATTCATAAGTCGAATGTCAGTTTTCCAAATGGTTGGGTTTTGAATCGGAAGGGATCTTATACTGCATAAATGTTGAGCATCAAATTTGCTTACCTGGATTCTGCATTTCCATTCTGAGCATCTTTCTCTTGGCAAGCCACGGCTCGTCTTGTGCCTTCTGGTCTAAACCCAGAAGAGCAGAGTTTGATTACTGCAGGGAAAAATTAGCGTCAGGATAAGTTACGAGGACACTCGGAACTCCATTAGCTTTTAAAATTTATGGCTTACAGAAAGCTCCTTGGGTGTCATGGCTTTTTGTTTTCTTGTTAAGTCTTCCAGGAAAAAAGGGGGGTAAAGTATTTTAGTTATTTATTCAGAACCAGACGGTAGAATCTGGAGATCCTTGGAATAGCACCCATCTTAATTCTACAGACCTCCACATTTTAGATTAAAGTTTGCTTGCAGCCCAAAGGGTAACATTTTCGCAGGCCAGCCTCTCCTAGAGGGTCTTTCTAGGACACGCTGCACAGCTGCTTGGCTTGGAGGCTCTCGTGCCCAAGAGGACTAGGAGCTTGAACAGACTTTCAGGTTCATTGGTGTGCTTCAGAAAAGAAACCTTGCGGCTTCAGTTTTCAGACAAGCTGCTGAAAAATCGTAAGAGACAGGACTGAAATTGTGAAAACTGGCGCTGGTGTAGCCATGGGGACTCCAAGGGTATTGATCTTGACCAAAGTTCATTTTACAACGAAGCGCATTTATGGCTGCATTTTGCAGCATTGCTTCCAGGAAATGAGTCCCATAGAACTCAGTGGACCTGATTTTGAGTATTTTGAGTGGACCTTATAAACGCACATGCTGTGGATTCCACTGGGACTCCACACTGCAATCTGCCTGCAAATAATTGCAAAGAATTATTTGCAAATAAATGCAAAGAATTGGATAACCTTGAGGATGCTAATCATACTTAAGCGACTGTCCTAATGTTAGCAAATCTGGAATTACAGCTGTAAACTAACAAGTCCTTTTCGCATCAGAGCATCAGTGGAAACCGAAAGGGGGATGCGGGGAGGCAGGCCTTTCCTGACCCTTGTTACCCCTGTGCATTTGGAAGTGGGGGTTGTTTTCTGCCCAGCGAGACTGCAAAGATTGAAATTTGCATTTCTGGCAGGAGCAGAAATTAGGAAAAGTTCAAGCTGGCTGGGAAAAGGCAGATCGCTTGCGTGGGCTGATCGTGGCCTGACCGGGAGTTGTGGTTTGTGATGTCATCGCTGCAGTATGCCACGCTCGTCCACCAATCGGGCTTTTCCAACTTACTCATGGCTCCAAGTCGAATGACTGCAAAGTGGCCCTCTTGTGCTCCTTTTCCATGAGGAAGACCCCCCAAATAATCCCTGAAGCCATGACTCAGTGCAGAAGGGCTGCTGGATGAGCCAGAATGGGCCAAAATAAGCTTTCATTCTACCCAACCATCCTGTTTCCGGCAGAGGAAAGCTCAAAACTCACGAGCAGGCCGCAGAAATGGTGGCTGTCCCAATGTTTGCTCCTCAGTCGTTGTTCTGAGTGGCGAAGTGGAAACTGTATTTACTGTCCCAGACCTGCCCTCCCTGAATCCATCCAGGTCTTTTCCAAAGTCCTCGAACCTGGTGATTACAGCCACGTTCTCTGACCAAGAATTCCACTCGTCAGTTTCTGCATTTCTTCAATCTCTCCTGAACCAGCTGCAGCCAGCACCGTGGGCTGACCTGATCACAGTGCGGTTGAAATATTCCTTGCTGCTCACAAATTGTATTTTAAAATGATCACAGTCTTTAATAAATATATGATTAGCTACAATTTCAGCAGGGCAAGCCCACTCGCGGGCTGAGCGGCTCCGTTGGAAGGGAGTGCATACCCAAGAGCTTTCCGTGTGCATCTCCATTGCCCCAAAGAAGTTCAGGAGACTCGAGGTTCTCTCAACGGTTGCCCAAGGCCCGGTGGAACACCAGTGATGTGTTTAAGAAGCCCATGAAAATTTGGCTCAAAGGATGCAAATTCTCTAGAAGGCACGGAGCGGATAAATTTTGAGTATATCCTAATGGAGTTGTTCCTCATGAATTTCCTATGCAGAACATGCTTCCACACAGGGAATTAATAATGCTCAAAACATACAGCCTGTTGGAAGTTAATTACCAATATTAGCATGCGTTCGGTTTTTTTTATAAACTGCTAGTGAATGAAAGCAGCTTGGAAAAGCCCACAGTCTGAGACATTGCACAGTGGTGCAACGCATCGTGGCTGCCCCATCGGAGTGGAGCCAAGCCTGTTGGCATCCCAGGCGTAACCCCCAGCTTGGTGCACCCCCATAGCCCCCGCGAGGGGGTTCACCCGACAACAGGAAGGGGGACCGGCCTATAAAAGTCCCTGAACCTATTCATTTTCCCCAGCTGCAAACTGTATGGACTGCAAAGCTATGCGCAGGTTTGGGAAGTCTGCCTCTAGTGGCTCAAGATGTCACTGCAGCTTTCAATAACAAGTTTAAATGGATTAAAATTAAATCCTGTCTTTTAAAAAGCCAAATAACCCCAAGGTATGCACTCCTAGGATCCCCTTACCAGGCAAGCGAAGTTTCAGGTGTCCAGTTTTGAAGCTATGGTGCTGATGGGTAAACAGACAGACAAGCATCTTTTTTTAGCATTAAAGAGTATTATTTCTACTACTGCTAGAAGTAGTCAGAGCAATAATAATAATAACAACAACAACAATAATAATTTTCCGGTGATCTGGGTTGGAGTCCCCACTCAGCCATGGAGCCAGCTGGGTGACTTTGGGCCAATCAGAGACTTTCAGCCCAACCTACCTCACAGGGTTGTTGTTGTGAGAAGAACATGGAGAGGAAGAGGAGGAGAATCAGGTAAGCTGTTTTGCGTTCCTGTGAAGAAAAAAGGAGGAATATAAATGTAATAAACACAGACATAATCTCTATGGTGTTTGAGGGGGTATAATGAGCTTTGGTTACCGGGCGCAGCAGAAATGAAGATAGTCGTGGTGAATCACTGGGTCTCAGCACGTGGCTTCCCGGGTGTGTTTCACGTCGGCGGGGCGTGTCACTGTCCCTGCCTCGTTGTTGTTGTTGTTGTTGTTGTCAGTCGCGGAGTCCCGTCCGACGCATGGCGACCCCCTGGACAGCATCCCCCCAGGCCTCCCTGTCCTGTCCTCCACCGTCCCCCGGAGTCACCTTTCCGCCCACCGTCCTTTCCCCAGCCGTTGCTCGGCTCCGCACAACAGCCCTGCAAGGCAGACCGCCGCCCGCGCCCCTCCCTCGCGGCCGCCCCGCTGCCTCTCCGCAGGCGCCCCTGCCAGCGCCGCGGCTTCCTCTGCGCGGCCCCGCGGACGAAGGATGCTGTGTAACCCGAAGCGCGCCTCCTCCCACGCAGCGCGGCGGGGGCCGGGCGAGCACCGGCCGGGGGCGGCCAGCCCGCCGCCGCCGCGGCGCAGGGGGAAGTCCTCGGGCTTGCCCGGGCTTGTTCAGCCGCCGCCGCCGCCGCCGCCGCGCGGTGCTCGGCGCAGGGCGCGTCCCGGGGCGGGGGAAGCCGCGGCCCTCCGCGCCTCGCTGCAGGTAAGCCCTGGCGCCGTGCACGTGTCTGCGCGCTCGCGGAACGGTCGGGGGGCGAGGGGGCGTGCACGTGTGGATGCCGCCGGGCAGGAGTGCCCTCTGGACCCGGCGCTCCGTGCGGGTGGCGCTTGACCCGCGTGTGCGGATGCGGGTCGTGTGAGTGCGGAGCGGGGAGCCTGCGGGGAAAGGGCGGGGCCAGCGAGTTCTTGCTTGGGATGGAGCGAGGCAGAGGCGGTGCGGTGCAGTTCCGAGCGGTGTGAACGAGCCGCGGGCGCATGGCCCGGGGGGGGGGGGTCCTCCGAGCCGATGGCGTTGCCGTGCGTTCCCGCCGCGGATCGGGGCCGTCGTAACAGCATGGTGGGCCCCGGGCAAAGCCGTGTCCTGCGGCCCCTGCGACGGCGAGCTGTTGTGACAAGTCCTGAACTTGTTCGGTGCCGGTGTGTATCAGGAACGGTGCAAAGCAGAGAGGAACTTAAATTAGCAATTAGTGAAATAACTACACGCCTTTGATCGTATGTATCTTATATGATACAAGGTGCATCGAGGGGTTAACATGCACGGATTAGTGTGGGGCCCATCAGGCCCATGCGCTGAGACGCCCGGCTGCAGATTGCTAGGCCCTAAGGCCAGGCCCTCTTGCAATACTGCAGTCTTGTGGGGCTGCCCCAAAAGGGATGCAGCGGAAAGGACCCTGATCAGGAACTGTGGGTGTGTGGGGTCTGTGGGGTGGAGGAGGAGGAGGAGGAGGGTGGTCTCGCTCACTCCCTCCTTTGCTCATCCCCAGTTACATGCGAGCACCGCCCGCCCTCCAGAGGTTTTGGTCTCCCAGTGGTGCTAGTCCTGATGGCTGTGTGCTACTCCTAGCACCTGAGGCAGTGTGCCCATGTGCATGGGTGCTGGGGAGCATGGGCCGGAGGGTGCTGTGGCACCCCCGCCCTGCTTGTGAGGCCTCGTGGGTGCTCGTTGGCCGCTGTAGAGACGCGGTGGCCCAGAGGGACCTCCGTCTGGTCCAGCGTAGCGTGGCGCGTTTGTAATATTGACCTTTGATGGAGGAATCCAAACATCTCTGGGGGGGGGGGGCAAGGTAGGAAAGAGCGGCTGTAGGGGCACACCTCCAGAATCCTAAAAAAACCCCTGCATGCAATGCATCCGGCTCACATTCAGTTTCCGAAACAAGGAAAAATGGGATCACTATGCTGGGAAGAGACAAGTGGAACAGCATTTCACGGCATGTTGTGCAGATGAGGCACAATTTGGGGAGGGGGGGTTCAGCTGCTCTCCCCTTTGCTGCCCCCCCCCCAGCAAGCATTCTTGGCCTCTTCGTCAGAGGTCCTTCCACCAGGTTGCTACCCCCCTTTCTTGTACAAATTTCTGTACAATTTGGGTTGCCCCCAAGCCTCCTGAAACGGCCCGCTTGTGAATGGGTGGGGAATCATTTATGAATAACTGCTCAAGGGCTCGGACCCTGAAATAGCAGGAAATATCTGGTCCTATGTCCATGCATTTGGAAGTAAGTTTTACTAGGTTAGAGGGAATTTACTCTGACATGGGTGAGCCAGGCTGTCAAGAATCTGGGAACCCCCGGGGTCACTGAAGGAAGTGCTGGAGAAAGCGTTTTGAACTCTTGTTTGGTTGCGTTTTGGAGTGGGTGGGAGATGCTTGCCTGGCATTTGTGCAGAGTATCATATCAGTGGATGATGGTTCTTACGGCAGTTGTCAATCGAAATCTGTCCTAAAGGGACGTGCCTAAAGCAAAACACATTTTAGTTCGGAAAGAAGTGCTATAATATCGGTTATTGGCTTCCTTTATGTATATTTATTATTTTTACAAAGTCGTTTGATAAATGCTAGAAAAGCAGCATGTGTGTGTTATGGGAAAATAAGGTGAAATGCCCTCAGACAGCTTTTCCCAACTTGAGCTCTCCAGATGTGTCAGAACTGCAAATGGGCCATGCTGGCTGGGGATTATGGGGCCTGTAGTCCAGGACAGGCTGAAGGTGGCAAGCGAAGTGGGTTTGGTGGAGACTCAGAGACAGACTTAAAGTCTCCCTGTGGCTGAGCAAGGATTGGGACGCATATCTCCTGAGCCCCAGTTCCCTGTTATAACCATGCCGGCTATCACAACAACTCTGCGAGGTAGGCGAGGCTGGAGTCTGCGACTGCCCCCACGTCACCCAGCAAGTGTCATGGCCACGGGGACAAAAGCTAGACCCCCTTCCCCAAAATGCCAGTCCATAACTGGGGTTCAGGGAGCAAACCAACTTGGTTTTCTGCTTTTTAAAGGAGATTCTGCAGAAAACCGACACGGCTTGGACAGGACAGTGGCCCAGATCCAAAGCACAGATTACACGTGTCTCAGGTCGTGGACTCCCTTGACCTGGAAAGGGGGGAGCACTGCTGAAACCTGGCAAAGGGAACCGTGGATCCGTGTCCCCATTTCTGCTTACCTCAAAACCTGCTGCATCCAGACCAAGGGACCGAAATGACTAATTCCCACCATCTCTCTCCCCCTCTTCCTTCCTACATTCCTCTTTTTAGACGCCCAGGCAACAGACACCAGACATGTTCGCATTCACACTCCCCGCAGAGGCATCTTACCATTCCTCCCTCGTGTGCCCTGCAGACGTCCCTGCGCAGGTGGGACCAGGGCAGTGCGCAGGTGGGGTGAGCAGCAGCCCGGGATCTCCTGGATCCTTCTGTGCACCAGGACGAGGGCCCGGCCCGGCCTGGCAAGGCTGGCTCTTGGCAGGAGGGGTGTGTCCGTACCTGTCGGCCCAGGTGAAAGGGCGGCTGACGCAGAGTGCCCAACCCACAGGGAGGCGGCCGTGGTGGAGGGTTTCTTCTGCAGGCCGGCTGACGTCCGAGGGGATTGTCCTCTGGTCGAAGAAGGAAGAAGATGGTAACTCGGAAGAGGTTTCTGGAGAAGGTAAATGCGAGTTTCTTTCCCACTTTTCCTTCTGTCTTTCCTGCCTGTTTTCCTTCCTTTCTTTTGTGTATCCCCTCCTGTTTTCCCCTTCTCTTTCTTCTTTTGCTTTCTCCCTCTCTTCTCCTCTTTCCCCTCTCCCTTTTCTATTCTTTCCACTCTTTCTTTTGCTATGTTTCCCTTCCTCCGTCTTCTTTTTACGCACTCATCTTTTTCTTCTCTTTCCGTCTCTCTCTTTCACTCCTTCCCCACCCGAGCACAGCCAAGTGCCAGCCAGGTCTGTCTGCCTTTTCTCCCCTTCTTTCCTTCCTTGCTTTCTCTCTCTCCCGTGGTCCTTCCTGTCATTCTGCAAGATCTTGAGTCTTTTGAAAACACATCTGTGTAGCTTTTGTTCTGGATATTGAATGAGTCACAGAAGGGGAATAGATCCTTTCTTATACTCTCAAGCTATTCCAAATGTTTGGACATTTCTTCTCTGAAGAATGTCCATTTTGCAACCAAAATTTAGGCTATTGGACTTGCTCACCTGTTCAGTTATGTGCTGTCAGAATCTTTTACATCCTTAAAAAGGTATTTTATAAGTTCTACCCAACAGAACCCACAATTCTGAGCATTTGGGTGGTGTGTTTTATGTATAGGAAATCCTGAGCTTACCTCTCACCTCACGCGGCTTTAAGAAAATGGGGGCTGGCAAGGGGAGGGGGTGACTCCTGTCCCACATCTTCTGATGTAGGGATACTAACTCTGACCTACATCACAGGGTCTTTGTTATAGGATATCATGTGACTATTTGCTAATCAGTAATAGGTTGTTCTTATTAATTCTGCTACAAAACGCCTGATTTCTGCCACTTACATAATTTCCTTCAGTTCTTCAAGATTTGCCCATTTCAGCCAATTAATTCCATTGTCCCCCGTCATGGGTTCAGGTTAACGAGCTACCAAAGGAATGCAAAGTCTATCTTCTTATCATAAAACTCCCTTGCTTCCTGTTGCTACTTTGTTCCTGCATCACATTTCCAGCCTGTTTTTGCCACCCTGAGGACTAGAAACTTGGCACACATGAACATTGGTGTTCTTGTACGGGGGGCAGTTTAATGAAAGGCCTTTCTGGGCTCAGACTTTGGTAGCCAGAAAAAAACGCTGCAGCCATGCAGTGGCCCTGATCCGGATCAAGGCATTTGTCCTTAATTCTAGCCCTGGCATTTTCTTCCTCTGTCATGCCACATTCAGCATCCCCCTCATCCCTCTCTCCTCCTTCACGCACCAAGAGGTATTCCCCTTTCGATTCTATTTGCTGGTGTGGTTCCCCTTTTCTCAGCAATACGCGTGACTCAAGATGAATGCAGTGATTCACCGGCATCATGTTCCACCCTCCATAATCCCACTGTGGTTTCATCTTCTTCTTTCTGTTTTGAGGGAGGTGGAGGCAGGAGTGAGGTATCGGTGCTCCGGCTTATAGGACCAAGGGCTGAACCAACAGAATCTGGACTACCTGAGCTCCCACAAGCAGCCCATCTGGGAAGCCAAATCCATCCTTAAGGTCCTGCGACCGTGTCCCTTTCTCCTGCCTCTCAAGGGTTTGGTGTTTCCTGACTTGGGTGCTTTTTCTCTTTCCAAAAAGTCAATACGGTTTCCCTAAGACTGAGAACTTCAAGCTGCTGCTTGTCTTTGGCCCCATTCTGTCCTTTTGCTCTGGAATGTGCCTCCTGACCCCACGAGCTTCTCTGAAATAGAATTTGGCCCTCGGACAGGAAAAGGGGGTGCACCCTCCATCGAGGGGTTTGTGAAAGCCAGTCCCTCCAAC